GAACCCATTGTGCGGCAAATGGATGGGTGTCTGTCATTCAGCAGACATTGAGCCCGTGTTTGGGATACCATTCCTCGACACTATACGCTTTAATGATAGGGAACGGTATATCTCGGGACTTATGATTGATGTATTTTCCACGTTTGCTAAAACTGGGTTTGTATTCTTGATGTGTTTTATTGTAGTTATTATACTAATTATGATGTGTTTGTTAGTAAACCGCCGGCAATAGGAGGCGCCGATTGGCCCGAGTTTTACGCGATTGGCAACAAAACTCTGTACCCGTACTATGAAGTCACTAATTATCCCAAAAATGACACCAATTTTAGTTTCGGTTTGAAAAACACGGAATGCGAGCGACTGTTCAAACCGTTTGTAGAAAATTAATATAAATGTAACCTGTATCATTTTATAAATAAAATTCAGTGCATTATACTTGTTTATCAAAGCTTTTTTTTCTAATGCCAAGACATAATTTTTAAAGAAAATTAATTATGTTGTATTATTAATATAATACATTAGTTTTTGATTGTAATGTAAAATGCATTTTTACCCTGAATATGTGGGTATAATCCGCGGATTATCTGAGAAAAAAAGTGATTTTTCTGAAAAATATAACGGGGCGTACTATACGCGGATGCGTATAATGTGAACAAAAAATATTATTTTCAAATTAATATTTATTCTTAATTCTCAATCAAATAACAAATCAAATAATAAGTTCTCAAATTCATCATCCGATTGAATATCATTGCTTTCAATGAAATCCATGAGTTCGTCGGGTATGTCAGCATACAAATCGACTTTTGATTTAATGATTCCATTGTTGACACAATCAGCTGTGATTAGGCATTGTTTTCAGTACTTCTTTGGATCTCCTCCACGACCGCACTGTAGACTCGTTTATACCATATTCAGCGCCCGCTTTATAATTACTTGATTTCTCCGCAAACCCAATGATCTCTAGTTTACGTGCAGCGGTATACGAACCCCGAATCCGGCATTTCACAACCAAATTGTTTAATTTTAATTGATTTTAATCACCCATATTGCATTAACTGAAACACAATGTGTTTTCAATTTTTGTCAACATTTCTACCAATAATTACAGTTTCATCTATACTCTAAGCAATATACGATATTTCAAACTTTTAATACACATATTTGAGAATTACAGTACAGTATATGCGTACTATACGCCGACACGTATTATACGAGCAAAAAACATAATTTATCAATAATTACTGACTGCGGATTATACGCCGCATACGTACTATACCCGCATATTCAGGGTATTTATAAAGTTGCGATAACTAACTCTATGCCCAAAAACAGTGTTAACTTTTGTTTAAAATGTTTTAACAACACAAACACATCGTCTATGCCCTGGTATACACTTTTTCTACTCAAAAATTTCGTATTTAAATATTAGTTATATCTGTATTAAATAAAAGTAATATTTCACGATTTAACATAAAATTTAATTTATTGAATATAACAACTTTATTAGATTAGACTTATTATAAGGAAATATGTGGTAAAAAATTTACACCAATAGTCAAACAATTCATACATATTTAAGGGCAACAAAACATAACAATAAAATCCAATACAACTCTCGGACAACCAGTCATTCAAATACATTACTTGTAGTCTTTGTCTTAAGGAAAGCCTACTATTCATCTGAAATGAGTGTAATCGCGGTCTAAACTTATATGAAAGTGTACTCATAGAGGCAAACAAGTAACTTAATACATATAACATAATTATATAATTCACGAATAAAAATATAAATATAATTCTTACAAACATGTGATCAGTATTCTGTTGACAAGAAAATAAAAACAAATTCTTAATTAGCGTACAAAATACATAAACCAGTACAATTAATTACAAGCATACCATGCTTATTTAAATTACAAATTGTGTTAACTATAGATATATATTTAGAAAAGGTATACATTAAGAGTGTGGTATTTCCGGTGGTAAGACATACAACAATTTTATCATTAATTTCCACCATTTGATATTTAATATACAAAATGATTATATAAAGCTTTATAATCAATTCCATGAACCAGACAGCCAGGTAGTAAAATATAAATATTATAATGAATGTCCAGAATAATACACTAATTAATGACAAATTCAATGTTTTATCAAAATATGCCACAAATGTTGGGAAAACAAACAGAATTGTTATTAAATAATTAGTTATTCAATGATATAATAGTTATTTAATATATAATATTCATTGTGTTATTGAAGTGATGACCTGAACCTTAGTAGTAGTGATCCGTCGGTTGTATTGATTGTAAACCCAAACCCAGAATCGACTCTCAATTATCCAAATAATAAAGTCTTTGCCATTTGTGCCAAACTATAGACCAAACAGTCCTCCAGTATATGAATAGTAGTAGTGATCCGTCGGTTGTATTGATTGTAAACCCAAACCCAGAATCGACTCTCAATTATCCAAATAATAAAGTCTTTGCCATTTGTGCCAAACCATAGACCAAACAGTCCTCCAGTATATGACATATAGTCTGTTAGAGACATAACCGGTTCCTCCCGATAGACATACAGGGGTTGTGTTGAGTCCCAAACCAATGACTTCTCGATATATTTTTCACTATCATTTAAATTATGCCAATAATTATTACCAATTTGTGTGTCCGTTGGTATGAATCGTGTTTTATATTCAATAGTTAGACAGTCTTTGGGACAATAATTCAAACAAAGCACACCAATATCAACTTCGTTTTGATAGAGTTCCTCACTTTTAGTTAAATAACAAAACCTTTTACTAAAATTCTTCTTAAAATCTAATTCATGTAAATAATTGTCAGTAAAAAATGGATAACATTTATCGTGTCGTTCCCAATAGGATCCGATACAACGTCTCATACACTGTGTATGAGATGTGGAACCGAATGGTTGTTCACCAGTACTCCAGTCATAATAACTACATTTTCCGTGAGGTCTCCCTAAATATTTTCTTAAAGTTTTGCTCACAATTATAGTTTCATTGAGTGTATGCCTATTGGGTAATTTCATGATTTCTTCATCTAAATAAGGGTATGACTGAGAGTGTAGTATTACATTTAAATCTACTTTGCCCTCATAATTTTGTCTAATTTCCAGAAATTTACTTCTATTATTAATTGTAATAGGTATAAAATGTGATTGATTCAAATATAGTGTTCTGAACAAAATTTCAATACTATCATTTAAGCCATTATTCATTTCAATGTAATAACTGTCAGTTGATTTGATATCGTTTACAGAAAATAATATTACATTTTGAGAGCTAATGTAAAATCTCTCAAATATTTTATCTTTCAATGACTTATTAAATAATTGACTGTATGTTGCATCAAGGTAGCAATTATTGTACTTGCGCATGTCATCGACTACATTGAAAGCTTCACAATTCCGGATATAATCGACAACAATATTGCGTTCATAATCGTCAACCTGAATGGACACAAACGGGAAGTTGTGATCGGATTCATAGTCTGTGGTATCGATGATAGTGTGCGAATCAAAGTGAAAGTATTGCACAGATATTGAGTATAATTGATGGATAAGTATTGTCGACAGAATCGCTGTTAAGAAGAGCTATAAATTTAAAAAATATGTGAATTTCTTAAATTAAATAAAAAATTTGTACTGAATTATAAAAAAAATTATAATATATTTACTTTAATGTTATTTCCAAAGTTAATCAAGTTAACATCTTTGAATTCCAAATTTTTGACAACATTTATTAAAGCTTTTACTTTATCACCATGCTCAAAATGACGAATAATAGTTTGTATTAAACCAATGAAAGTGATTCCATGCCATAGACTCAATATATTGGCGATACTTATGATAAGTCCTATGAATGATATTTTTGCTGAATGACTGATTTCAGTAAAATATATTTTGTTTAAATCAAATTGATAATATTGATCTTGTTGTTGGTCCACTTTAGGAACTTGCAATTTAAAAGAAAAAAGATTTTCAAAGCAATTAACTGGACATTTAGATTTACAGTATTTATGAGTTTGGTCATTGACATAACTGCCATTGTTTATATAAATATTTGAACAGAAATTGATGTTTGCATTATATTTATTCAATTGTATTGTTAGTAAACTGTTATATTTAGGAATACAACTGAATTTTTTTTGATATTCATTTTCATAGCATTTGTTTAAACAATGAAATTGTGTTTCATTTCCGGAATATTCATAGCATTGCGTGTCGTATGGTTTGGGCAGTCGTTTCAATAAATATCTCTGAATTGTAACTAATTTTTTATCGTATTTAGATGTATCTTTAAATTGAATACAATTGTCACCACTTATTGGCAATGAATCTCTCGAATGAATAATAAATCTTTTTCTCATGTAAAAAATCTTATTATATATTAAATCATCACTTGTATCACAAATCTCTTTGAAATAGAAACTTCCCTTAAATT